AAAATTTATTGAGATCAGAAGAAAAAAAATGTTTCTCTTTTTAATATAGTGGAGCCATGTCTAACTTCAAAACGTTTCGGCACCATTGGATGGGATGGCAAGTGAGGCTGCAAAACTTTCTTTCGTTCACTTCGAGCTTTTTAATGTTGGCAATAAAAAAATCTGCAATTCAAAGATAGGCTGTGTTCTACAGAGCATATTTTAATGTTGTATCTGCGTTTTAAACCTTTCCAGATGTCCTTTCTAATCATCGAACTAAAGGAAACGTTTAAACGTATCAGTTATTCTGCCGCTGATTCCGTTGCGGGATAGGACGGAAGAGGCGTGTGGTGATGGTAGTGGAAAGCATTAAGGTCTTCTCGGGTATCATTGTTTTCACGGCTTCATTTGTTTGTCGTTTGAACAAGGATATTGGCAAGAGATCAACCTTCGCTTGTATCGTGTCCTTCTAGAGACATTTTTTTCTTTTATATTTACATTTCTCTTATCACTGATTATAGCAACTTAATATTGATAATGTACCATATAATACTGAACTGAACGCATGTGTCAAGTCCCAAAATTAATCTTTATTAAAAAAACATGTATGTAAGTATTGATATTATGTTTATTCAGTTACAGCGATTGTATTATTATGTAGAATCACCTTGTAGAGTCTTCATTTCTAAGCTTATTTGAGACATGAATTTGAGTTACATAGATAATTATGTAGATTGCTATTTCATCAGAATTAATATCATAAGTCGTTGATAGGTTACTTCGTGGTAACCAGTACCTTTAGTGATGAGTATGTTAGCGTTCATTAGTTCAAATAGATGTTTGAATATATCAGAGCGTATGTGTGTATATATATATATATATATATATATATATATATATATATATATATATATATATATATATATATATATATATATATATATATATATATATATATATATATATAGCGTATGAGTTGTGATGTAAAATTTGCGTTTGATTATTGTGATATTGTCAGTATAATCGAATTATGGGAATGATGTGAATTAAATATCTTTTTCTGTAAAAGAGTACTTTGTATCTTGCTTTTATGATTCTGTTTTATGATGTTGTGTTTTAACATGCAAGAGTGTATGTGTATTACGTTTTGAATGGTTGTGTGTTCGATAAAATTTGATACCCTAATCTAATAACAAGCTTGCTGTGTAGTGTGAGGTGTGAGCCCTGAGAACAAAACAGTGTACCATCCTTTTGTTTTCAAAGTAAGCTTTTCGGGAACAACTTTCAGTGCGAGGTAGCAAAACCGAGTCCCTCAGAGAGAGAGAGAGAGAGAGAGAGAGAGAGAGAGAGAGAGAGAGAGAGAGAGAGAGAGAGAGAGAGAGAGAGAGAGAGAGAGAGAGAGTCGAAGTAAGAAAATTAGAGTCCACGTATAAGACGAGGGAAAGGACGAGGAGGAAAGTAGTCTTCGAGGTGGTAAAAGGAAAGGAATAGGAGACTGCACCTGGATGGAATTAGAGGAAACGAAAAGGAATCAGGGGATGAGTAAAAAGCAAGGACGGTGTTAAACTCACACTACAAATCACATGACGAGATAGGCTTAAAAGAGTCGAGTAAAAGATGCTTCTTTGAGAACTTCGAGTGATTGACTATTATTTGTTTTATAAATTGTTGTTATTAAATTTAACCCTTGTACCTTTATCCATTTGACCGTCGGAAGTGCCGACTGAGAGCTCAGAGCTCTCCGCCAAACATTCACTAACTCAACTTCCAAACCACAATCGAGCCTGGCTGGATCTTTTGTCATAATCTAAATAAATATTGTAAGTACCCAACCAATTTCCTAAAACCAAATATATGCATAGGGGAGAAATAACTCTTTAAAACAAGATGGTTTTAGTAGGTTGTTGTTATAGAAATCGAGCAAAATATTGATTTGAATTTATTTGACAGCCAGAATTTACTCTCACGTGTATTCAGTCAATGATTACAAAACATATACGTGTGGTTTACAATAAGTGAGAAAATATCACAAGGCATATAAACTATGTATAGCACAACAAGATCCTGACAAGGGAGCCAAATTATGAAGGCAGTGGAGTGCCAAACGATTGATGTCTCCACACGTGGCCTTGAATCACATCTATGTCGATTAAATTTGTGTATGTTATTCACTCGGGATAGTATTCATCAACCTTGCGATTAGATATTTTGCCCAGATAGATAAGAAAGAACATCCGATATATCAGACATCTGCAAACATAACCTCTTTTCATTATGCTTCCTGTGGTTGCGGAATATCTAAATTTGAAACATGAACTTCATGAATGTTCAAGACATGCTAGAATCGGAAACAAAAGATATTGTTTCTGTATTTAATGTAGCAGATCCTCCATGTCTAATGTCAACACGTTTTGGCACCATTGAATGGAATCGCAGGTGACATTATAGAAATATTGCTAATGTGGAGCAAAGAGAAGTAGGCAATAAGTCTGTGGGATGGAAGGATTAGCACTGTTCCATAAAGCCTAATTCAAGGTTGTTTCTGCGTTTTAAACCAATCCGAATCAGGTTTTTCAAAATCGACATGTATAAAAGTTTGAAATGTATTAGTTGTTCTGGAGCTGATTTCGTTGCGGGTTATGAAGGAAGATGTAAGTGGTTGCAAGCATAAAGGTCATTTTTCCCGGGTATCATTCCTCCCAAGGATTTATTTGTTTGTTGTTTTAAGAAACATTTTGACAGAGTTCAACCTTTGCTTGTATCATGTCCCTCTCGAAACATTCTTTTCTATTATGTGTACATTTGTATTCTCACTGATTGCAGGGATTAAATTTAATTTTCGTACAGTGCCACATAATACTCGACTGTATGCATATATTAGGTTCCAAATTAATCGTATAAAGTTCATTTGTTGATGATGAAATGAAGGATACTTTGACTCTTTGTGACAATGAGGAACCTCGAATATTGTCACATTTTCAGCGTGTAGGTATATGTTTCCTTATTGCTAGAACAGTGTAGAAATCCAAATCCGAACAACAAAACAGGTCGTTTGAAGAGTGGAAACTTGCAATAACCTAATTTTGACTGATTAGTGTAAATGAAAAATTACTTTGGTTGCATTCCGTTTGTGTTTAAATGTAGGATGAAGCTTAAGTGTAAATGGTTTGATGTTTCCATTCTTAAGGGCAAAAAATACACTTTACTGTTATGCATACTTCATTTAAAAACGAAAGAAAAAAAAAACTATTAGCAGAGCGTGGTTTTGATCCACGGACCTCTGGGTTATGGGCCCAGCACGCTTCCACTGCGCCACTCTGCTGTTGTGAAAGACAATTTGTTTTATTTTAATTTGAAACGGATATTCACCCATCTTAGTCATTATTTCGGTCACTTATATACTGACCGAATGGTCAAAAAATGTTAATCCCGCATAAAATTTGAGAGGGTCTGCGGAACGACCATTTATTTTCTGCTGGAATTGTGTGAACGAGGGGAAAGGATGTGGTGGTTATGAGGGAGAGGTGTGTAGAAAAGTTTGGATTGCCTTCATCGTCTCAATATAACTTTCTTTTATCTCAAGTTTATTTTATTGCAAAGCATATGATGTTTGCAGAAGATTCATTTTGTTATTTAAATAAGAATGAAAATAATTTTCTTTAACCCGTCTGATGGCCAAAATTTTACTCAGAAAGCGAATGAGTTATGAGTTAAAAAATAATATTTGTGGTTTACAGTCATTGCGAATATATATATATATATATATATATATATATATATATATATATATATATATATATATATATATATATATATATATATATATATATATTGTGTATATTAGAACATAGAGATGACGAGGTGGCCGAGCGGTTAAGGCGATGGACTGCTAATCCTTTGGGGTCTCCCCGCGTGGGTTCGAATCCCATCCTCGTCGATGATATTTTGGATAATGTTCACTGTTAAACCTATTAACATTTATGAATGAATATTTTGTCTGTATGGATCAAAACAACACCTAAAACGTAACACATCTGCTAATAAAACCTCTTTTCCGTTTCAAACCTTAGTTTAACATATATTTGAATGCGAAACAATTACTCCATGCAACTTTAAAATTTATTGAGATCAGAAACAAAAAAAATATTTCTCTTTTTAATATAGTGGAGCCATGTCTAACTTCAAAACGTTTCTGCACCATTGGATGGGATGGCAAGTGAGGCTGCAAAACTTTTTTTCGTTCACTTCGAGCTTTTTAATGTTGGCAATAAAAAAATCTGCAATTCAAAGACAGGCTGTGTTCTACAGAGCCTAATTCAATGTTGTATCTGCGTTTTAAACCTTTTCAGATGTCCTTTCTAATCATTAAACTAAAGGAAACGTTTAAACGTATCAGTTATTCTGCCGCTGATTCCGTTGCGGGATAGGATGGAGGAGGCGTGTGGTGATGGTAGTGGAAAGCGTTAAGGTCTTCTCGGGTATCATTGTTTTCACGGCTTCATTTGTTTGTCGTTTGAACAAGGATATTGGCAAGAGTTCAACATTCGCTTGTATCGTGTCCTTCTAGAGACATTGTCTTCTTTTACATTTACATTTTTCTTATCACTAATTATAGCAACTTAATATTGATAATGTATCATATAATACTGAACTGAACGCATGTGTCAAGTCCCAAAATTAATCTTTATAAAAAACATGTATAAAGGATTAAATAAAGGTTATTTTGATCTTTGTGACAATGAGTAACCTAGTATATCATCACATTTGCTGCGTGCTGATTTGAGTTTCGTCATTCCTGGCAAAGTGTAAAAGATGCAATTTCGAACGAAACAAAATACTTTGAAGACTTTTAAGTTACAGTAACCTATATTTGACCTATTAGTATAAATGTAATGTTAATTTGGTTACATTGACTTTGGTGCTAAATATAGGATATAGCCTAAGTATAGATTCTCGCGGTTGATGACTCAAATAATTTACTGTTATGAATACTTACATGTAAAAGAAACAAATAAAACGACTAACAGAGAGTGGTTTTGATGTACTGCCCTCTCGGTTATGGGTCCAGCACGCTTCCACAGCGCCACTCTGCTGTTATTGAAGAAGAAATTGTTGTAACTGATCTGAACAGTGTATCTGATATTTGCCCATCTGTTGAATATTTACGGGGAATTATATGCTAAACGAATGGTCAAAGGAAGTGTTTCTCGACATGAATATAACATGCAGTGTAAATGATCATCACTAAATTTTTTTGTAGGTTATAAACATTGGACAAGGTTGTGGTTGGTAGGGTAGTGGTGGATAGAGATCCTTGGATTTCTTCCAAGTCTGAATATTGTTTCCTTTTACCTCAAGGGCAGATGTTTCAAAGTACAAGTGTCACGTTCGTTCAATCTGAGGCTAGCCGGATGCATAAACGTGGGATATTTTGAACGTGTTTGATGTATAAGCATCGCCGCCGGCCAGTGTCAAGCGATTATTTAAGTCGCCAGAAACTCACCTCTCGTGTCCAATCTTGTAGCTCTCACCCATGTGTTATACATTGGTCGGAGATGAAAAGAAGCCCGCAGGGTACAGGGGCTGTTCTACCTGCCACGTAGAGAGAGACAAACGAGAAACACTGACTGCTCAGTTGATTGGGATAGTCCAATAACATCCAATCGGATTGCAGCCCGAGGATGGGCCAAAATCTTAGATTGAAAAAGTGTTAGCTGACACCGGGCAAAATTTCGATAGTATACATGAGCAAATTGTGAGGAGGATATCGTCGTAATATTATACTCCGAGAGACGACACTCGTAAATTGGCGGGATACGTAGGACAAAGAATTGTGAACAAAGAAAGGAAAGATTCAAAAGATAGTTATTTGATCAATTTTTGCAAAACATTACGACGTCGTGGTTGTAAGTATTGATATTATGTTTATTCAGTTACAGGGATTGTATTATTATGTAGAATCACCTTGTAGAGTCTTCATTTCTAATCTTATTTGAGACATGAATTTGAGTTACGTAGATAATTATGTAGATTGCTAGTTCATCAGAATTAATATCATAAGTCGTTGATAGGTTACTTCGTGGTAACCAGTACCTTTAGTGATGAGTATCTTAGCTTTCATTAGTTCAAATAGATGTTTAAATATATCAGAGCGTATATATATATATATATATATATATATATATATATATATATATATATCTTTATATATATATATATATATATATATATATATATATATATATATATATATATATATATATTGTATGAGTTTTGATGTAAAGATTTGCGTTTGATTATTGTGATATTGTCAGTATAAAATATCTTTTTGTGTAAACGAGTACTTTGTATCTTGCTTTTATGATTCTGTTTTATGATGTTGTGTTATTATTTTGTGTTTTACCATGCAAGAGTGTATGTGTATTACGTTTTGAATGGTTGTGTGTTCGATAAAATTTGATAACCTAATCTAATGACAAGCTTGCTGTGTAGTGTGAGGAGTGAGCGCTGAGAACAAAACAGTGTACCATCCTTTTGTTTTCAAAGGAAGCTTTTCGGGAACTACTTTCAGTGCGAGGTAGCAAACCCGAGTCCCTCACAGAGAGAGAGAGAGAGAGAGAGAGAGAGAGAGAGAGAGAGAGAGAGAGAGAGAGAGAGAGAGAGAGAGAGAGAGGCGAAGTCGGAAAATTGGAGTCCACGTATAAGACGAGGGAAAGGACGAGGAGGAAAGTAGTCTTCGAGGTGGGAAAGGAAAGGAATAGGAGACTGCACCTGGATGGAATTAGGGGAAACGAAAAGGAATCAGGGGATGAGTAAAAAGCAAGGACGGTGTTAAACTCACACTACAAATCACATGACGAGATAGGCTTAAAAGAGTCGAGTAAAAGATGCTTCCTTGAGAACTTCGAGTGAATGACTATTATTTGTTTAATAAATTGTTGTTATTAAATTTAACCCTTGTACCTTTATCCATTTGACCGTTGGAAGTGCCGACTGAGAGCTCAGAGCTCTCCGCCAAACATTCACTAACTCAACTTTCAAACTACAATCGAGCCTGGCTGGATCTTTTGTCATAATCTAAATAAATATTGTAAGTACCCAACCAATTTCCTACAACCAAATATATGCATAGGGGAGAAATAACTCTTTAAAACAAGATGGTTCTAGTAGTTTGTTGTTATAGAAATCGGAGCAAAATATTGATTTGAATTTATTTAACAGCCAGAATTTACTCTCACGTGTATTCAATCAATGATTACAAAACATATACGTGTGGTTTACAATAAGTAAGAAAATATCACAAGGCATATAAACTATGTATAGCACAACATGATCCTAACAAGGGAGACAAATTATGAAGGCAGTGGAGTGCTAAACGATTGATGTCTCCACAAGTGGCCTTGTGTCACATCTATGTCGATTAAATTTGTGTATGTTGTTCACTCGCGTTAGTATTCATCAACCTTGCGATTAGATATTTTGCCCAGATAGATAAGAAAGAACACCCGATATATCAGACATCTGCAAACATAACCTCTTTTCATTATCCATCCTGTGGTTGCGGAATATCTAAATTTGAAACATGAACTTCATGAATGTTCAAGACATGCTAGAATCGGAAACAAAAGATATTGTTTCTGTATTTAATGTAACAGATCCTCCATGTCTAATGTCAACACGTTTCGGCACCATTCAATGGAATCGCAGGTGACATTACAGAAATATTGCTAATGTGAAGCAAAGAGAAGTAGGCAATAAGTCTGTGGGATAGAAGGATTAGCATTGTTCCATAAAGCCTAATTCAAGGTTGTTTCTGCGTTTTAAACCAATCCAAATCAGGTTTTTCAAAATCGACATGTATAAAAGTTTGAAAAGTATTAGTTGTTCTGGAGCTGATTTCGTTGCGGGTTATGAAGGAAGAGGTAAGTGGTTGCAAGCATAAAGGTCATCTTCCCCGGGTATCATTCCTCCCAAGGATTTATTTGTTTGTTGTTTTAAGAAACATTTTGACAGAGTTCATTTTTTGCTTGTATTATGTCCCTCTCGAAACATTCTTTTCTATTTTGTGTACCTTTGTATTCTCACTGATTGCAGGGATGTAATTTAATTTTCGTACAGTGCCACATAATACTCGACTGTATGCATATATTAGGTTCCAAATTAATCGTATAAAGTTCATTTAATGATGATGAAAAGAAGGATACTTTTACTCTTTGTGACAATGAGGAACCTCGAATATTTATGCATTTTGAGCGTGTAGGTATATGTTTTCTTATTGCTAGAACAGTGTAGAAATCCAAATCCGAACAACAAAACAGGTCGTTTGAAGAGTGGAAACTTGCAATAACCTAATTTTGACTGATTAGTGTAAATGAAAAATTACTTTGGTTACATTCCGTTTGTGTTTAAATGTAGGATGAAGCTTAAGTGTAAATGGTTTGATGTTTCCATTCTTAAGGACAAATAATACACTTTACTGCTATGCATACTTACATTAAAAACGAAAGAAAAAATACTATTAGCAGAGCGTGGTTTTGATCCACGGACCTCTGGGTTATGGGCCCAGCACGCTTCCACTGCGCCACTCTGCTGTTCTGAAAGACAATTTGTTTTATTTTAAATTGGAACGGATATTCACCCATCTTAGTCACTATTTCGGTGACTTATATACTGACCGAATGGTCAAAAAATGGTAATCCCGCATAAAATTTGAGAGGGTCTGCGGAACGACCATTTATTTTCTGCTGGTATTGTGTGAACGAGGGGAAAGGATGTGGTGGTTATGAGGGAGAGGTGTGTAGAAAAGTTTGGATTGCCTTCATCGTCTCAATATAACTTTCTTTTATCTCAAGTTTATTTTATTGCAAAGCATATGATGTTTGCAGAAGATTCATTTTGTTATTTAAATAAGAATGAAAATAATTTTCTTTAACCCGTCTGATGGCCACAATTTTACTCAGAGAGCTAATGAGTTATGAGTTAGAAAAATAATATTATTGGTTTACAGTCATTGCGAATATATATATATATATATATATATATATATATATATATATATATATATATATATATATATATATATATATATATATATATATATATATATATATATATATATATAAAGTATATTAGAACATAGAGATGACGAGGTGGCCGAGCGGTTAAGGCGATGGACTGCTAATCCTTTGGGGTCTCCCCGCGTGGGTTCGAATCCCATCCTCGTCGATGATATTTTGGATAATGTTCACTGTTAAACCTATTAACATTTATGAATGAATATTTTGTCTGTATGGATCAAAACAACACCTAAAACGTAACACATCTGCTAATAAAACCTCTTTTCCGTTTCAAACCTTAGTTTAACATATATTTGAATGCGAAACATTTACTCTATGCAACTTTAAAATTTATTGAGATCAGAAACAAAAAAAATGTTTCTCTTTTTAATATAGTGGAGCCATGTCTAACTTCAAAACGTTTCGGCACCATTGGATGGGATGGCAAGTGAGGCTGCAAAACTTTCTTTCGTTCACTTCGAGCTTTTTAATATTGGCAATAAAAAAATCTGCAATTCAAAGATAGGCTGTGTTCTACAGAGCCTAATTCAATGTTGTATCTGCGTTTTAAACCTTTCCAGATGTCCTTTCTAATCATCGAACTAAAGGAAACGTTTAAACGTATCAGTTATTCTGCCGCTGATTCCGTTGCGGGATAGGACGGAAGAGGCGTGTGGTGATGGTAGTGGAAAGCATTAAGGTCTTCTCGGGTATCATTCTTTTCACGGGTTCGTTTGCTTGTCGTTTGAACAAGGATACTGGCAAGAGTTCAACCTTTGCTTGTATCGTGTCCTTCTAGACACATTTTCTTCTTTTACATTTACATTTCTATTATCACTAATTATAGCAACTTAATATTGATAATGTGCCATATAATACTGAACTGAACGCATGTGTCAAGTCCCAAAATTAATCTTTATTAAAAAAACATGTATAAAGGATTAAATAAAGGATATTTTGTTCTTTGTGACAATGAGTAACCTAGTATATCATCACATTTGCTGCGTGTTGATTTGGGTTTCGTCATTCCTGGCAAA